TGCTGACTTAGAGTCTTCGTTAGACCTTTTTGAAAAAATAACTTCTATGGCGTCCGATGTTCTTATTGTTGGGGATTTCAGTGCACCTAAATTCTGTAAGGGACGGAATGACTCTAAAACTGTGTTACTAAATAAATTTAAGGCAGTGTAACGCAGTCTTAAATAATACTACCCAGTTATAGAATAAATCAAAAAACTCTTCCCTTAGTCGTGAAAGATAAATACCATCCTTTCCTCTTTATTGAAACGCACATAACTCAGATAAGGTAAAATCTTTAATCAGGTCGGATTATCAGGTTTATGTCAGACGTATGCAAGATAATCCTCAAAAGTTCTGGTCTTTTGTTAATGACCCAAAGATCCTTCTTCTATTCCTGGAACTATAACGCTTGGTGCGTCAACTTTTGGTAATCCTTAAGAAGTCGTGAATGCATTTACCACTTATTTTAGTACTGCATATTCCTATTCTTCTTGCTTGAATGGTACAGAAGTAAATGACCAATAACAATCCTCTGAAATTTTTCTAAAGTTTTTGAGACCGTTATTCAGAGTTAGTTGTCTTTTCATCTGTAACGAAGCGAATTTTCGCGGGCCGGAAACCGTGACGCGTACCGCGAGAGCCGGAGGTAAATCCACGATCACCGCGCCGCCGCGGCGAAGGAAGAGGATTATTGCCTGACGCCTTCGCAAGGGAGGAAGTTTGTGGCTGTGTGGAGAAGTTTTTGAGCGTTGTAAAAAAGTGTGCTGTGTGACCCTCCGACCACCGTAAGTAACTTTTTGGGTCGCCTGCCTGTTTAAGTACCGATTTTTTAATCGCCGCCCCCGAGCGAAAAATCGTATCACCTTCACCGGGTTTTTTTTATCACCGTCATAAGTGCGCGATTTCCAGGTTTCAAGGTCTCCGCCCCCAAGTACAGGAGGAGCCCGCCCTGAAGGAAGTTGCCGCCCAGGAGGAACGACCGTGCCAGATGTATTATTACGTTCTTGTTTGTTTTTGCTTTGTAATTATTTAATTTAATATTAGCCGTAAGATTATTCTTGTAGACCATGTAACTGGTGGCAGGGAATAAACCCTATTTATTCTTATAAAATATCCTTGCCGTTTTATTTTTATTCTCGTGTTTTCGCAGGCGCTCACCACCTAAATTCCATGTCTCCGGCTTGAGAGCACCCCGGCGCTCCCTCCCCCGGATAGGGAGCTGGCGCCCAGGCGACCGCCGCTCCTGACCGAAGGCGCCACCCCCGGCGGCGTGAAGGTCGCCGCACAAGCTTGGTCGGCCAGACGTGTTTCTGATATCAGCGATTCTGGTCGACCCAAAGCTGGGCACCCAAATACGCCGCCACCACACATTATCGGCGAGATTCCGGACCGTCCCAACCGGAATTTCGTCGCACATCTTAAGGATGCCCAGTACCCAACATGGTTTCTTTAGCGGTCGTTCGACTAATTTAACGTGCATGATTCAAACAGTTTCGGATGTTCTCGATCAAAGAGAACAAATTGATGTCAGATATACAGATATAAGCAAAACATTCGATAAAATAAATCACAAATTATTGTTGTTAAAGTTATCAAAAATTGGACCATCTGAAGTCGAACTTCTCAGCCTTTATTTTGACAATAGAAAGTAATTTGTTTTTATAAATGGTTTTATTTCTGATCCATACATTGGCGTCCCCTAAGAATCTAATTTGGGTTGTCCATTATTCATTGTGTATGTGAATGATATTATCGTCTAGTCTCTTATGTCGCAGATGATCATAAGACCTTCAGGCACATCAATTCCATCAATGATTGTTACATGCTGCAAAAAAAATCTTAAATAATCTTCTTCTAAACATTGACAAATGTAGCGTTGTAACTTACGAGCCCGCTTACATAAGCTCTTCTTGTTTAACTATTAACTGGACTCTGGAATGATTATTAGGAAGACATGTGTTGATGATTTAGGTGTAACGTTCGACTTGACTTTAGTCAACAACGTAATTGTTAAATCGTCCAAAATACTTGGTTTTCTGTTTAGAACTTGTAACAATTTTACTGATGTTGAGGCTCTAAAATGCCTATACTCTTCCCTTTTTCGTTTTCGCTTAGAGTACTGTTCCTTAGTTTGGTTCCCTTTCTATATTTATCAAAAACTTGCTATTGAAAAAATTCAGCATAAGTTTTGAAAACCGATGTTTTTTAAGACCTATCATAGATGGCCGCAAAGGAACTATTCTCAGCAACAGTTGCTCGAACAATTTGAATTTAAATCTCTACAGTGTAGATGTAGAAGAATAAGTAATGCGGTGTTATTTTGCCACAAATTGGTAAACAATAAAATTGATTGTTCCGAATTATTATACTTATTGAAATTTCGTATTCCGTATATACAGTAACCCCAGGCAGCTTGACCTCTTATGCAATTCGGCATCTACTACTAACATAAACTCTCCAACTATATAGCAAAATATGTAAATAGTTTAACTGATTGAGCTTTGGAACACTAACATAAAGGAGTTTAAAACTTCTATAGGTAATAAATTTATCATTATTATTAAACAATGTAATTTTTTTGTATCACTATTATTATTACAGGTTTATATTATTTTTTTCTTCTCTCACTGCCGCTTTAATCTATAATCTCTAATTTTAATTTTTAATTTCTTAATCTTTATTTTTTATTCTCTGTAATTGGAAAATAATTTCTATTGGCCAATAAATGGATTATTATTATTATTATTAAAATATTCCGTCATAAGATAAAGAAAATCAACAGTAATTAAGTATAAAATAAGATTTTAACAATAAAAACGAATTTATTCACTGCCGTATTTAGAACTATAGCGGGTGGCCATAATAGGCACACATAAGCTAAGGCTGTGCATCAGTGAATTATGAAAAAAAAATGCTTTTTCATTGATATATTGATACATATCCTCATTGATAACTTAACAAATATGTATTAAGTATATTATTAATATTAATTTTGTAATGATATAATAATATTTGTTAAAAAAAAAACTCTTAATTCGTCAAAATTTATATTGAAACAACTATTTTAAAACAGTACCCTCCATAATCTTACATATTGGGTACATGCCCATATTTGTTTAAGTACCTTACTATAAAAAATTACTACTTCACATGTGGCTTGTTCCTCAGTAATAGTTTTTACTTACTTATCTAGCATGAAAAAATGCATTTATGTATACCAAAATTCTGAGAACTTACTGTCTTAAGGTAATTTTATGCAAACTTCAGAATTAAACTGTGCGTATAAAATTTAATAATTAAATAAGATTAGTCGTGCACAATTGGTTGGAAGAAATAAAAATTTGTTTTTAGGAGGAATTAATAATGCAAATCAAAAGTTCCCACAGGGGCAACCTTTTCTTGAGACGGGAATATTTGGAACACAAATTTTTATCTTACAATAATTTTTATTGTAGAAAGCGATGTGGCTGAAGAAGCTTTTGAAAGAGCTTGTGGTTTACATTTATTATTTTATAAGTTTTCTCGGAAACGAATAATATAATTTCCCCAAAATTCGGATTAGTTCTTATTAGAAAAGTCCAGCAGCGTTATACCTAAACTAATGTGTTTATAGAAATTGAAATAGTATACCAACATCATATTAACAAGTTATTATTAATATTCTGGTTGTATATATTTGGTGTCTTATTTATTTAAAAAAAAATTGTAATGATTTAATTTTTTTTTTTAGATTGCTTAGAGAAATATCTAGCATTTTATATAGTATATTTAAAATACCAAAAAGCTAAACAAAAATTTATTTGCAATGAATTTTCCTCATCTTCACTGTAACTAATGCGGAGAGAGAAGTTCACTGTTGATAATTTTCAAAAATCCGTTATGCAATAGGATACAGCAGAATACAATATAAAAAAAAAATTAAGAAAATATGGTGGAAATAATCACTTTTTACACGAAAATAACTTTTTATGATGACTGAATTATAACCTTTTTGCAAGCAAACCTGCAAATTATTATTGTGATAATTAGAAAAAATACCATTTTCAAGAAGTAGGGAAACGCTCAGTCGTCCATTTAAAAAGGAAAAAGTTGACGATGTTCTTAAACAGGACTTTTTATAAACTTTTTAAAATTTAATCGTTTCCTGTACATATAGTTGTTTGTGCGTCAGAATTCAATCTGCAACAACAAACAATTTCAGCAAAATTTAATCTTAAAACAAGATGTGCATCTATGCTCCGTTATATTAAAAGACAACAATGAACGTACAAAGTGGTTAAAAAGGAATAATATAGTTATACTGCTTCTACCAGAGTTGAAGAACATTAAAACAATTTTTCCATCTCATAAACTTGCAGCGCGAATATTCAACCTAGATCTATAGAAATGAAAATAAAAACTTCTACTAGGGTGACAATTTACGTGTCTTCAAATCCACATACCTTATTAGAAGTTTGAGCCTTGAGAGAAGTCTTTTCTATTTCATCACGTCGTCTGAAGCCACTACAACGACGTCGTCTTGAAGTTAAGATTGGTTTAATTGAACTAGGAGCATTTGTAAAACTGGTAGAAGTTTTTTTTATTTAGTGTTACATTTGACGTGTAGCATAAATATTAAGTAAAATAAAAATAAAATCCAGGTTAATACCAAGTGGAATTACGTGTTAAGTAGCACGAGAAACTTATAACAAACTGACTTTTCTCAAATCTTGGAACCACATTTTCATAGACTTATATAAGTGTGATTTTACTTTCGAACAAACTTCAAGTTTTAAACTTCTATTCATCTATTGAATGTCGAGCAATCCTACGCGTATTATACACTTGATTACAAAGAAGCACATTTGTTTTACCTGAATTTAAAGTGGACAGTTAACTCGAAAAGACTTTACGTTAATGAAAAACTGTTTTTCCACCCCTGAGTTCTCTTTGAAACTCCCATAAATATAACTTCTCAACATTTACATCTAGAAATATTGTTTGTGTTTTTTTCAAAGCTTGTGATTGTTTTCTTCCGCAGGTTTCTTACGTACGAAAGCAAGTTTCGATAAAAGCGACTCTTCAGCGGAAAACTTGGGGATTAAGGACATCGCTGCGGCTCTACGTTGGATTAAGATTAACATTGCAGCATTCGGAGGAGACCCCAGCCGTGTAACCTTAGTAGGTCACGATACCGGGGCTGCTCTAGTTAATTTACTCTTTGTTTCTCCCAATTCCAAAGGTACTTAAAGACGGTCCTTATTAATTATTTAGATCATCGCATCGCGGGGGCTTGATTGCGCTAAAATCGACGATCTTTTTCAGGGCTCTTTAAAAGGGTGGTGCTCCTAAGTGGCACAGCACTCAGTCCTTGGGCTACAATTCATAATCCCAACAGTCTGCGGGTTAGTGTTGGACAACAAACGGGTTGCTTAGGAACCGATTCGACGGATGAAAACGAAGATATAGCTCCTTGCCTCAGATCCCGGTAAGAGAATAATAATAAATAAGACGGGGGCGCTGACTGTGGGGGTGTGCCTGAAAGCACTGCTCCGAACCCCACACATAAATTTACACACAAGTTCCAATTAGAGGAGGCGTAGAACTGATTTTACGTTCTTGATTTTTATTTATGTTTGCCTAATTTTGGATTACTTGGTACTAACTAACTAAGATCAACAAAAACAACATCAAATTTTAATATGGTTGTAATCTCAAACTGTTACGCGCGATGTAACTCAACTTTAAATTTGCAAGGAATGTCTCAAACTGATATTTTGTAACAGCAATTTCCACGACGCTTCACATATGTTAGGAATGATGGAATAGTTTCCGTTGATTTAGCACATAAATCTATTATTAAGTGGTGCTTTTAATCTCGACGAAACTATCGAGTTTTGTTTGTTATGAAAATCACTGCAAATGGAAAACGAATAGCAAACAAAATGAGACTTAGACTTAGGAAACCGCATTTTAAGCTAATTCTAAAGTGGCACTGACAGCATTTCATCAATTTTAAAAACTGTAAATATAAAAGGAAGCTAGTTTAGGATTTCTGAAAATCACCATTACTGATTGATCTAAATTTATAAATTCAAATACAGCTTTGAGGAGTTGTCCAATTTCTAATGAAGTGGTGGACAAAAGTGACTTACGAAAAAAAGTCTATAGCGTAGTTTTTAGACGTAAAAATTGTTGTCATTCTAAAAAATAAGTAGTTCAAATAAGGTATAATGGGATAATTTATTCGTTTTCGAAAGAACTAATATTTCCCATTTCATTAAAGGGTAATTTGAAATTTATTTATCTTTTGTTTTCGAAAAAAAAAGTTATAAAATAAAGCCTCTCTGCCTCACACAAAAAAAGTTCCAAAAAGGATTAAAAAAATCGCAATAGGTTAGATAGACATATGCGCTTTGTTGAATCGAACACTCTGTATCTTATTAGTTTACCTTGTTTTGTTTTTCTTCTTTTTTTGTAAGCATTTTCTGTATTTAAAGTTGATGCTTACTGCAGTTTTTTTACTTTTTTAAGAGACACGCCGACAGATTGAAAGAAAGAAAACCAAAAATTGAATAAGATGCAGTAATCAAATGGAGTATTAAAACAAAACTGAAATATCGATACTGGAAAATTGAAACGTTTTAATTGTTTTCAACACTGTCTATATGGCTTAAATAAATACCATAACAAAGTTTATCTCTCCGCAAAACGTTGCAACACAGATCTTAAAACATTTTTTGTCTTAGAAATAGAATTAAATCCCCAAAATGTTTTTGTTGCCAATATTAATGTTGTACATATCAAAATACCTACTTTCATATATCATTTTAAAACAGACATTTTTGTCTTGTTCCTGAGATTTTGGATATTTCATAATTTCTGATTCTTGTGCAGTAAAATATCAGAAAATTGTTGTTCCATTTGTTTGTACGTTGTCAATTCTTTAATAATAATTATTCTCACTTTGATACCATGATATAAATCTGGCCACAGTTTGTTAGTGAACATACTTACTTTTAAAAATATGCCATTTTTTTATCAATTTGAATTCATTGACATACAAGTTTAAATAATCGTACTATAAACGATGTATAATTTCAGACGTACAATGTCTGAATCGTAAATAAGGTTGAATAAAAAAATCGAAAGATAGTGTTAAAATATAATGTACGTTTAAGTTTGCGTGGCTTAAAATGTCTTAATTCTTTCGGCTGATGAATTTTACGAGCACCAGTCCTGATGCAATTAAAAAGAAATCACGTTAACTGCTTCGTTGACTTATTCTAAGAAAAAAGAAAATATTTAAGCCCAAAATTGCATTAGCTGTAATCTGATTTAAACACATTTAACATACAATCGCTTTAATAAGTCTGTTGTCCACGTTAAGCGCATTTTTTGAGAAATCAAAATTTTTAATTTTGGTGTAACGTTGTTTCCAACAAATTCACTTATGATCTCCTGAATGTTTACCTTGAAATACCGTGTGCCATAATTAACGTTATACATCCAATTAATTACCACATAAATTACTGTATAATTATATAATTTAAAACCGTTTAATAGTTGATCTGTTTCAATTTTACTTATTTGTTTTAGTTTCACCTATGCCTGTGCGTTAAAAATAATGAAATCAAACTTATGATCATTTAGTTTGAAACTTGACATAAGTTAAATCTGTTACAACAACACTTTCGTTAGAACCCAAAATTTAGATTTATTTTGTACATAATTTCTCATGCCCTCTCAATTCTTAGGAATAGCACTGTATTATTAGTAGTGTTATAGTTCAACTAAAAATATAGTTATAGGTTATGATTGAATTTCTGCTCAACTTGCGGTAATTTTTACGAGTTCGTCACAATAAGGGTAATAAATCCGCTCACCTGCCTAAGACCTTATCAAATAAAAATTATTTTACCACCTAATGTGAAAAACGTACATTAGAAACGCTACTCCGTTACTTTTGTACAAAACTGCTGCAAACTAGTGTAATCAAGTAACGATGGTCCAATCAGAGAACATAGAGAAGCGACATAGAGGCTGATTTTGCAAAACCACCCTTATTGACATTGGAGTCCTCAACCGCCAAAGGCAAGCGCCAAATTTAAAAAGTCGATGCCAATAAAAACCTTGGTTCACTATAATTGTAATTCGTGTGACTTGAATGAAAATGAAGGAAACAGTAAGCAGCTTGTAATATTCTGGTAAATCTAGTGTCAATTTGTCGAAAGTAAAACGCGTCGTTAAAAATATTGTGACATTTCTTCTAGTTAATTTTATTCCTAGTTAGAACCAAACACTGCTGCCAACATAAATTTCGGAGTCCTCAACCGTCAGTTAATTTAAACTATAGCGCTTCTCTATGTTCTCTGGTCCAATTTCAAGTTGTTGCGGTTACAAGCAGTCTGATTGCTGTTGCTATGTGACCGATCAGTTTACAATGTTGCGAAGTCGGCTTAAAATTTAATCTGTTTATAAGTTCAGTTAATTAGAAAGAATAAATAAAACCAAACAATCAAAGAGCTAGCCAATCGCTTCGTGTCAATAATAAAGCCATGGAACAAATAAGCTTTCTGGCGACCTCAAATTCTACGGTAATGTAACATTTTGCTCAAAAATGAATTATGTATAACAAGATTACTTTGAAATTACAAAAGGTGTCATATAAAAATTGGTCTAGTTTTTTCTCGATTTTGTTTGATAGGAAATCTTTATGAAAAAACATACTCTGACATCCACGAGTTATTGGCAAAGCTTCAGAGGGCGAGAAAATATTGTTTGAACTCTTCAGACTAACTTTTTGCCTTTATAAATAAACACAACCTATACCACAGTTTTAGATGAATATATCAGAATTGTATACTCACTGCCTCATAGATAGGCAACCAGTAATTTAGCTTCAGTTCTAGACTGTTACCTACCGCACGGAAGCAGCAAATTCTTACTAAATATTCAGTGACAAATTTTCCACAGCCAACTTGATGTACGATTTTGCAATCACTCAGTATAAATTCTAAGTACAACGGTATACTCACATTGTACATGTAAATGCCAGTACGCAGACAAACTAACCAAATCTATACATGCTCACATTAAATGAATTAATGAAAATTCCGAACTTGTATCTCATGGGAACAAAACAGCGTGAATTACGTTCAAAACTTCAATGACTTAGGGCCGGTTTATAGAATATTTTAACGTAGAATAAGTTAATCATGCATTTAATGAGGCGTTTAGCGACCTCTAATTGGCGTAGAGTCGATCACATGCTACTTTAACGCCTCTTTAACAATTTTATCGCAATTAAATATTTAGTTTCTTTTCTGAGTTTCTGTAAACCGGCTGTTAGAAAGTTTAAAATATCAAAAACATCAAAAATCATGCGACTGATGCCATTAATAAGGATGAATAGCGTGACTTCTTTCTAATTTAACCTAAGATATATCTCTTATGGTTTTAACATGTATCATATTAGTGAGGAAATATAGAGGCACCTGCAGTGTTGCACTAATCCCTTAGTTGATCTGTAATGTCACGGTGGGCTTAGGGCCACCTATGGAGTTGGTCCGCAATTTAGGTCCGCCGGTTTTAGGAAAGAAAAAAATACGCTTTAATTTATAGCGCCCCAAAATAGGAGATTCTCCACTCCGAACGTTAAATTCGAAATGCGAACACAATAAATTTTTACAAGTTTGTGCTTCAACATTGAAATTTCAATTCCAACTATAAATTGCGTTTCCTTTTTACGACTCTAAAACAAAATGTTCCAGCTTATTCATTTCTTTAAACGCAAAACGATTCGATCAATACTCGGGTGGTAACTAGAGTCTGAATTTGAATATAGCACGTTACACGATATACATCAAAAACATTCCCCGTGAAAGTACTTACATGCATACCATGTAGACGACGTATTTATAGGCCACTCCAGGCTCTTCTCGACGTCCAGCTGGAAACCGTACGATTCATGCCAAGGATCGCTCCATCCCTCCCTATGGACCTTCAAAGCCCTGACCCGTCCTTCGCCATGGAGCACGCCAGCGAGAACTTCATCATGTGCGAAGTGCTGCTGGGCACAACGACCACCGAGAGTTACAGTGACTTTAGTGCCGCCGATATTCAGTACGGTTTCGAGGAGGACCAACGCAATCGTGTTTTAAGGACTTACGTTAGAAACGCTTACATCTACCACTTGAACGAGATTTTTTCCGCGATTAGAAACGAATACACGGACTGGGATAAGCCGATACAGCATCCCATCAATATTAGGGACTCCACAATGGAGGCGTTAAGTGACGGACATACAGTGTCGCCGTTAATCCGGGTCGCGTACTTGCACGCCCGGAGAGGAGCCAAAACCTATTTCTTTCATTTTGGATATCAGACGAAGGACAGCGATTATCCTCAGGTAAGTCCATCTTCAGTGTAATAATGTAATGTGTATGTAGTGTATGTGTAATTATTTACTCAGTGGTGTAGCACTTAATTGTATGATTCATCCGTTTTGATGTCGTTTACCTCTTTTTTTTTACTCTAATGTCTCAAATACTTGGACATATAACTAAAAGTTTAAAATTGATCTTATATCTGTGCTGATTTCTCTGCAAATGCAAAAAATATATTTTAAATATTAATATTCTTTTATCAATAATTTAACACACACATTTGCGTTTACCAAAATGCTTTTTAGATTTAAAGACAAATTTTAAATTATTAAAAAACTGACAGTGCTATTAATGGTTCACATTATCCCTTTCCAGCACAGCAACATCAGGTTGTTTTTTATTTATGTTCGTATATCTTCGTTGTTTTTAAAACATTTCATTCGGTTTTTTTTAAATCTTTATATCCTTTTGAATGTTTTACTAAACTAATAAAATACATACAGCCTAGAATTTGAGTTCTGGAAAATTCTCGTGTTGTTATTTTTTCGTGTTTATTTATTTATCGTCATTTTTAACATTTGAGACACATATCCATTTTTTCTAGTCAAAAAATCTTTGGTTGTCTATTATTTTCTACTATTTATTGATAGCTTTGCAAGTAATGAATCCCATTTATGAAGACTTCACTAAAACCCTGGATAGAATCAATCACAAAATCTTGGTACATAGATTAGATGCTATGCAATTACTAAAGGACATCTTTGTTAGTTGAATCAACAGGTTTATTGCAAATAAGTTACAAATTGGTGGATTGGTAGCTACCTCCCAGTTTCGATTTAAATTAAATCAACGGTGTCTTAAAGCAGTCACTGTGGCTCATTCTGTTTAATTATGAGATCCTAAAATGTGGTACACACTGTAAAGTACTTTTACTTACTGCTGATTTAAATATCTTCAGGGAATTATCGTTAACTTATGATTGTCCTCTGCTTCAAAGTAGTTTAAGGAGTTTAGAAAGATTTGGAGGTTTTAGTGATATGACAAATAATATGGACAAGTGCTATGTAATTTCTTTTTGGAGGACAAACAATGTCATATTAATTCCATTATACACGCTTACTATAGATGTGTTGGGACTTGAGGCATTATTTGCCACTAAACTTAGTTTTGCACCATAATCTCTGAAACATAAAAAAAATGTTGGATTAATTAACACATTTTCTAAACGTTTATAGAAATATTGGAACTTTTTGGTCTCAATTGTCTCAGGAGGATGTTAAGGAATAATCCAGTCATACAGCTTCATAGAACAAATTATGAATTCTCCTCATCCATAACTAGGTTAACAAGAGGCCAATCCCCCTTGTTTACGAGCAGATTATGAAAATAAGAGGAAATATATTCTACTAAATATGTAATTCCAAGATTCAATTCTTTGTGGAATAATTATTGGTGTCATTAGTAACTGTTAATCTTCAGCTCACACCACAATACTGGATTTAATTTAAAGGTTAGATGAATTTAATTTACGATATTTAATTTAAACCAGTTTGAGTCAAATGTTACTTGTATTTAATTATTCCATATAAAGGGGATTCCCGTCAATAAACTAAAACACTAAACCATTAGTTAATGTCAAAAGTACACAACCAAACTCTTCGCGAAACTTATAACTTACAACAATATGACGTATTCCTAAAAAATGTTTTTAGGCGACCATTACAAATTTAGGGGTTTTACGTCCTCAATCACGTCCATAAAGTGCCACTTTTTTGTACCAAAATGTCAAAATTACTTTTTCGGACTCTTTTGTCACTTTCTTGTACTCAGATATCGAAAATTTGCATCCTTGGCCTTGTATTTTTGAACAACATTGTTTTAAATGAAAAAGCCAAAAGCGTCGTTACTTGAACTCCACCTTTACTGAATCTGGTTATGAAACATGACGGTACCAATTTTTTTCTTAGTAGAGGAGCAAAGTGGCAGTTTGATTTTTACTAAATCTGCAAGACTTTTCCACCAATAACGACAAAAGATTTTCTAACCTCAAAACCACTTCCATAACCAATTATTTTTCTGTATGGTCGCCTAAAAAACGTTGTGTGTATCTCGGTCAAAGAAAATTCATCAACGTCATCTGATTTGTAGGCGTCGACCTCAAACTTCATATCGGCTAAAAAAGTTGTTCTTTATGGCCTTTTCTCTTCACTATAAAAACAGACGTGCCGTTTGGGTGAAATGATATTCCAACGCCTACTCTCAGTGACTTTTCCATTGAACACCCGTTATCTTTTCAAAAAGTTAAGATATTAGAGTGGAATATGTAAACTTCAAGTGATGTCATTTAATATTTTTTAATACGTTGAACCAAACTCGTTACTATATTTAACGCATTTAAAAATATAAATGTCTAATCTAGAGGAAAATATAAGTTTGTTGTCGTTTCCGAGAAAACCAAACGTGAATAATGCTAATCATATATTATTTTTGGAAGAAGTAAAGTGTTACATCCACGAAGTATGACAGTCAGACTACAACTACTAAATATATTTTAGACTGTAAATCCTCACAACTCAACAACTACATGCCGTTTGAGATTTCTACAGCAAATACATAGAAAACATTTACAAATTAAAAGTTAGGAATGCCAGACTTATCTATACTTCTATACTTATATTATAAAGCTGAATAGTTTGTTTGGTTGAACGCGCTAATCTCAGAAACTACTGGTTTGAATTCAAAAAATATTTTTGTGTTGGATAGTCCATTTACCGAGGAAGGCTATAGGCTATATAACTATATATTTTAATTCGTCGGCTAGTTGTTCTATAACCATAATAGAATGTTGTTGCAAGATTCTGCGTCGTTATTTTAACAGTGAAATGACAACGTCTAGTTCCTGTGAAATTCAGACTTTGTATTAACCACGCCCCAAGATTGGTCATTCATGTTGAAGCTTCAAGAGTAAATTAAGCAGGATAAAATAAACTAACAGGAAAGCTTGGAAACAGTAAACTGTTAAAATACAAATAAATAACAAATAGTAAAAAATGTTTATTTATAACCAGAAGCTGATATCAAAACACAAAAACCAGAAGACGGGTACGGTACATACTATACACACTCCTGAATAAAATGGTAGTTCATGACTCATGAGGTTTCTTAAAATTCACCAAAGTGAGTTATAAAATTTTAATTAGGAAGCAGTAACGATTTCGTAGGATTTTTGAATGTCATATTCGAATAACTAACCGCTTGAAAATTCACTCACATTGGCAAGGACATAAAGAACAAGGGATAAATGAAAACGACGTCTGGAATACGAGATATTTTATGAGACGGTGTACTTGCTTGGCAGCAAATCTTAATTCCCTCGAATGAATTTGGTTAAGCATTTACAACTTACTAAATAACTAAACCTGTAATGCTCTTCCAGAATATGATTTACGAAAACATAAATGTGAACAAATCGTTAATTTAAAAACAATGGTGGTGTTGCGAACATCATACAATTCTTCTGTAACTTGTTATACTGATATTCGTTCATAAATTTGATCACAATAACAGAGTCGTGATAACAATAATGAGTTGGTTGATAATTATCAAATTATAATTTAACCCTATCATACAAAATGCCAGTCATTGTTTTTTAGTTAGCTGTTTCAGACAAAAGTTGCAATGTCGAGTGCTGAAAAAGATGCAAATATGAGTAAAATATAATATTTCGCACGGATTTCATATTTTCAGTTTGTTTACGATAGATTCTTATGCAAAAATCTAGTGTATGTTAGTTATGTTACTTAGTACATACAATCATAATATACCATCCTATAAAGATTACCTAGTGTTATATAAATCTAGACAACTTAATTCCTGTTGAATTTAGTTGTGTCCTAGACGAAACCTCGCTATCTTATATTTTGAAAACGTATCTCTGTCCGCGTTCAACCTAAAATCAATGGCATTTACAGAATATCAATATCCCTCACCGTAATTTAGTACATTGCAGATATGACATTCCTATATTTTTTTAAAATGCAAAATTACGTTTACAATGATATAAACACGTAAGACCCGATTTAGAGAAGCTTAGTTAAATATTTTTGTGATTAAATTTTTAACACGGCATTAAAGTACCACGTGACCGACCCTACGCCAATCAATCGTTGCTAAACGCCTCGTTAAATGTTAAGTGTTTATATAATTTAAAATTAACAAAAAAAGTGCTTTAAGGTAATTTTTCACGATGATCTTAGTAGTTCGCACGTCCATATGTTCAAGTATTTGAAAGTGTAGAAAGTCCAAGAAAATGCGAATAAAAAGAACAGAAATCTAAGACCTACAATTAGACTCGATAAGGAAACGAGGACCGTAAAAATACTAACAGTAACAAGTACGCATTTTTTAATTAAGGGTAGTCTTTCAAACTGTCAACAGAGCGGTATTGTGAAATAAGAGAAATATCAACGACAGCTGGTAAACATTTAATTAATATGAACTGAACTAAAATATATATAAGAAGTTTGGAACAAACAAAAAGCAAGGGGTCTTGACAAGCAAAAAAGAAATATAAAATTGTCCATTGAATCTAATACTTTTCAAATGTTTAAGCAGCAATTTAAACGAAAGCTACAAGAATATATTGACTATTATAAAAATGTGAAAACTGCTTTAAGAAAATCAGTGGTTGGCAACGCGGGTTAGAAATATATCTGGAGTAAATCCGAGGGGATTAACTCCAGATATAGTAGGACCCAAACGAAGGCGAGCTTTTCAAACGTATTAATATTAATAGCTAATTATAGAATCCTGCCACCTTTATACATTTTTTCATTTCTCGTTTATTTAAAGGCATCATTTAACACGGTTAGTAACTAAAACATTATTGGGAAATAAACTGGAACATTAAAATTGAGAAATATGTTGTTGTCAACACATCACAATAAATCCTATAATAAATTAATACTTGCCTATATATATACATAACAGTATCTCTTATGAAAAGTTACTGGAGCACCCAAGC